TAAAGTCTTCAAAATTTGAAAGTTTATTAATGTATGTGTGACACACACAATGTATGAAGAAAAACTGTACTGGGTTACCGAAGTCCGGTTAAATGTAAACGTACTATTATTTACAATGTTTTCAGTAAATAATTGATTTCCGTTCCAGAACCTAAAAGATTCTACTAATTTTACAAGTTTTCCAACTTTTTACACGAAACCCGTTCCCGAACCCACAAAACTAGTAAAAGGTTCAACCAAAAGTAAAGAGAATACAAAATAAAATGCCTTTCTCTTTGTATACTTTTTACTCGAGAAATTTGGCCGACTAAAAATGCCTGATTGGCTGTTGTGTTGATTTTGAAGTATTGCCATCTGATTTTGGTATATTTACTACATTACATTTCGTATTATTTTGAACTCTGAGAGTAATTTTAATATTTTTCCCTATTAATAGTTTTACTTTGAAAAAAAAGTACTGGAACAAAACAATAGTTTAAAAAATATTGAAATTGTGATGAAATAAATAAGAAGTGAATGCGATTTTTTGGACAAACATATTTTTATTTGGAATCATAATTGAAAAGTTTGCCAATCGCTAGTCAATTTCACATATTCATAAAAGGGTTGCATCGGCATATGACACAATGATGTACAGTGTATGGTGCCCTTAAGTCTTTTCAATACAACAAGTCAATTTGTCGAAAATCGGCTTAGCTATCCCTAGTTGTCATATTGAAATGTCAGTGGGTTTGTCGGGCAACCATTCGTGTTACATCATTTAAGAAAAACAACTTTCCACAAAAATAATCTAATTTCGGTTTAATTTGTTTTCCATAAACACTAAAACGCATTGAAGAACATTAAATGCTGTTGCCCTTTTCAACGCGCTTTGGAAACAGCAACAGCAGTGAGTATTTAAAGACAATAAATAATCGCGAAGCAAAATGACCGAAGAATCTAATAATCAGGTTAGTGGAGATTCGAGGTGGCGAAAAGATGCTACAAAACACATCATAAAACAACAAGAATAATACGAATATAATCAAAAAAAGTATTTAATATTGCTAAAATCCATAACTAGAAGTGAAATTCCTTTGATATCCTTGAGAAACAAATCCCATTCCTGTGTTCCTTCATAACAATTGAACTGCTCGGCAAAACGAAATCAAGAGACAGACATTGTTAGTGTATTTGTGTTTTCTTTTTGTGTATATTCCATTCGCGTGTGTGTGTGTGTCGCGGTGTATAAACGAACGAATGTGTGTGAATGATATATTTTGCAATTGGCGATTTTGTTTGTGGTGCGCAATATGTTTATAGCTCAGCAAGCAATTTCAAGAGGCACAATACAATACACCTCAGCAAACTTATGAATTATTCTTCTATAATTGTGTGCTCCTCGAATAATACTCGATGAAAAAAATGGATGGATGTCATTTGACTGTATTTTACGTTTTAATATTCATTGTTTTCTCTTCTCCTCCATAATGTAAATAAATTCTTTCTAGTATATAACAAAAATTATTATTAGAATTGTGAACGAATATTGGATGTCAATTGAAATGATTGACTTTTTTCGTTGCTTTGGAAAAGTAGAAGATCGACTTCAGACAGACATAAAAAAACTCACGTGTTTTTTGACATATGTACACATTGCTTGGCTTAGCTGAGAGTTGTTCTTGGAGGAAATGAGCACAACAAATAGATGTATGTGTGTCTGTGAATGTTCTCAGTTGCATTGATAACACTATCGATATTTACTGGAAAAATTGGTTGTATATAAAAACAACACACTTGTTACAATTTTAATTTTACTATAGTTTACTTTTTTACAGAATATTCTAATGTGTTACTAAATATTTGGAGCTTGTCAAAGCGTCTTTGGTCCATTCATAATCTACATCATATTTGTGTTTGATGTCTGTATTATAACTCAGGGAAATTTAAGTTCAGATACATTTCCAAATGACAATACAATTATATGACAGTAACTTGCATTACATAAATCGTCCCCGGTTTAAGTCAAAGACATATAATTAAAATCAGAGGTCTGCACTCAAAATAAATGTTTTTATTTTATTTTCCCCGATATGGACCTATGAAGTTTCGAAATTCATGTGAACCGATGAAGGTAATATTGGTGGCTATTTAGGAAAACATGGTACAGTATTTTTCGGTTAATTGAACCTACGGTTAATTGGTTTCCACGCTTAATTGAACCACATGATGGGTCAAAAATATTTCATTTCAAAGGCGGGTGGCTATTTGTGCAAATTTTGATGTGCAATTAACCGAAAAATACTGTAATTGAAAATATATTTTCGATCGCATATGCGATTTTTTCTTCTGTCTACAGGTGAAGGTGTTAAATTACCGGTCGGCTATTGATCCATATCTCGAGACGTATGGACTTTCCCCATGAAAGTCATATATTTTCCTGACCAAGGTGACAAAGACAGAATATTAGAAACATTCGAGATGAATCCCTAAACTTAACTTATTCCCATGTGCTACATGTTATTGACTGGTGCTGCTGGCTATTTCTTAGAATGTTATCACTGATGTAAAGGCTTAGACCATATCCCAGAAATTGACATGAATCTGACCGGAATATTTTCAAAAGCATCGCCCATGAATTGAAAAAAGACTCAGTAGACCACGGTAAAACTTTCTGATCACTATAGTACTAATATCCATCATGTCAAATAGATTTCAGGAATACTTCCTTAAGCGTTTTTACTACAAAATGATGAATTAGCATTTATGACAGGGAGGATATCAGTCCTATTGTCATCTATTATGGTATCTAAAAACATGGCATCTGTTAGGTAGGCTGCTAAACTCAACATCTCTACCCACTTTAGGTTTTTCGGAAAGGAAGGAATAGATAATGTATTTTTTATTAAGCTTAGCCACAAGATATTTATTGAAAAGCTTTGAATATTTGTGGTATATTTTCCGGAGACGAAGTTAATGTCTCTTGGTACGGAGCATTTGACGTCTACACTCCAATAAAATTCCAAATTGAAGCAATAGAGTTATTCCTGCGGTGACCTGTTATGTGCTTAAGCACATTCTTCTTAAGTGATAAAAACGTGAAAACTCCGGACAGATGGATTTTGAGGTTTTGCATATATCCAATAGGTGGTCTAACAGACACTTAAACTGATTAATCAAGGGAATAAAAACAGTAATATAATGTTGGCAGTCTTCCTTAGATAACTCTTTCCAGTAAGGTTTGATATTAATTAATCCTTATCACTCAGAATATTTTGATTTTATATAATAGGCAAGGTCTTTGCATGCACCATGGTCGAAAAACTTATCATGCTATACCATCGGAGAATCATTGTATTCCAAACAGCTTTGTTTAGCTTTAGATATTTTTTAGAACTTGTAACACCAGATCTCAACATCATACCACGGCATAACTATACAAGGTAGTCTCTTTTGAGAAATTGATAATGGCAATGGAATACTTAATATGGAATTCACATATCAATTTCAAATAAAATGAAAAATAAATTCCATAAAATGTTACGCATGGCGATTGGCAAATTTTCAACAAATTAGAAAAATATATTTTTTCTAAAGCTCCACATTGTTCTCAAGATTTAACGAAGAATGTTTTATAGTCTGGGGACTTAAAAATGTTTTCCACTGGACACAAGATGTGCGTACATTTCAAAGGAAGATATTTTCGTTTAAATCTTAAAAGCTGAATGTTGTCAAAGGCAAATTTATGAAAAAATTGGAAACATATGACTGCATGAGACTACCTTGTATAATTATGTCAGGCATCATACATACATACTTGTGAACTGAGGCATCAATATTTTTGGTAAATTACTTGTTGGAAAGCACTCCTTCTTAAGCTATTTAATAGTTCCTATTCCCTATCAATTGATTACGCCCATATAAAGTTGCTCTCAATAACCACTTGCTCACATCGCAAAAATATAGTTGTTGTTTTGAATTTAACCCAGCCTAATCAGTTTTCTTTCTCTGTAAATGAATATAATTCTTAATATAGTCTCAAGGATAAAATGGATATTAAAAACCACCCGTCAAGCTGATTAAAGAATTTTACAACTTGCCATCCAAACCAATTGCCTTTACATTTTCTCCAATTTAATTTATAATTTATTCACGTTGTCTTGTAATATCCGTGTGTAGTAAAGCCTTTATGGTGAAATTTTGTTAAATGATTCATTTTTCTAATGCACAACTGCCACCACACAAATACACAACCAAAATACCCCTCCTATCTATCTATATACATGATGTGTAATGTTTATTATATTTTAACCCATTTGTTTGCCATATTTCTGTTAAATTAATGCGAGAGAATGAAAATTCTTAAAATCCAAAGGTTGGACGATAATCAAGTTATCACAAACTATATGCCTAGCATATTGAAACTCGGTCAACAATGGGTTAAAATATCAACTACTACGTATTTTATTATCTCTCTACTAATGGTATAAATATTTATTATCAATACATTTATTGACACCTTTATTATTGTTTTGTTGTTAAATATTTTTTTCTTATTATTTTTTTATATTTTCTTTCTTTTCCTTTTCAGTTTTAATAGTTATTTAAGAATAGCATCTATTTTAACACAATCGGCCTACAACAAATCACAATACCCCCAAATTCTAGTGCACCAAACCAGTAACTCCCGAAACTATTTGTGTTGTAAATAGCGAAGCCTAAATTGGATTTTCGAAAATAAAAACAAGAAAACAAAAACAAACAATACCAAGCCCTCTTATTCTGATTTAGAAACTTTGTTGTTCTTATTTTATATTAGTTTGTAGAGTAAATATTCAAATTTAGTATTTATTTTTTAATCAAAATATTGTGATTTTTATGTCAATTCGAATTTACGAAAAAGTTCTATATCTTTTTGATTTTTGTGCCTTTATTTAATTTTATTTTCTTATTTATTTTTTCGTTAAGTTTAATTTGAGATTATCAAAGAAAGAAAAACAAAAAAACCAAGTAGAAAAGATAACTGTGCTTTTTCATATTAAAACAACAAAACGTTTATTTTCGTAAATAATGGCGGCCTATTTGAATCGTACATTTTCAATGGTCACTGGTAATGGCGGCGACGCCGGCAACTCTTCCAATAATACGCCCCAAACAAACACAAACCACAACAAATCCATGAATTACGATCCGACGGCAATGATGTCCGATAATCGAACAATGCATATCAATGCCGATAAATCCCCATTGCAGGTATTCGTCAGAGCCAAAAAGAAGATCAATGATATCTATGTGGAAATTGAGGAATATGTTGCCGAAACAACGACATTTATCAATGGTAAGTTTGCCAAAAAAATAATTTGAAATGTAATATCCAATCATAAAATATTCCATTATATGTAACAGCAAATATTATGAAAGAATAAAGATAGATATTTATTTTCTGTTAACCGCTTAATGTCTGATAAGCCATTATCATTCATTGACACTAAACGCAGCATTCCTTCAATTAAATGATAGCATGTAAAGCATACTTGTGTAAATTACGACCAAAAGGGCTGAAGAGATTAAAATTACATCAGAGTAAACCAGGACCCTGAAACCTTTAGGTCTATTTAGTTTTTTACAATGACAATTATGTCGTGGTTAACTGGAGTGATTTATGTGAATAATTATGCAAATGATAAAGTCGATATTGAGCGACTCTCCACTCCACGCGGTGTTGATAAGCAGTTAGTAACTTATCTATTTCAAAACCTACTGAATTGGAAGACCTACGTCAGCGAATAATTTGGACTCTGTTTTCGACATATCAAACGTCGATGTTTTTTTAAACTGGCATATGTCTCATCTACGACAGGATTCGATGCGTGGAATACCGGAAAGATAGATGCTAAACAAATCGGCAGATATTACCCCACCTTGAGGTACTCCTACTGTCATCAATGAGAGGATTCGATGCTAGAAATACCAGATGCTCAAAGCTTCATATTGGATATCTGTAGATATTGCTTTTTTCGAAACTCCACTTACAACTGATTATCCAATGCTTCAGAATTGGGCGGAGGGAAGTATTTTCGAAAGTACTTACGGAATCCATCACGTTTGCTGGCATCCTTATCTGGCTACAGTAGCGGGACTACCCTCTGCCTATTATCTAGGCTTCGGGGATATGGAGGAATATGGTTGGATATCTTCAAATTGAGAACATTACTCAGATATTCGACTACAGTTTCTGCCAGTTGTTACGGCATTAAAAAGAGATTTCACAGGGCTCAACGCTATAGATGATAGCCCAAATGTGGAATAAGCGTCTGCATCTGTATTGATATCACGAAATATTCGATATTAATACATATTCGAATTTATCCGAATTAATGGTTGGCGAACTCTATGAAACACAATCAGTTAGTTTTCCAATGCCACAAAAAATGCGTCTTTCAGAGGCGATGAAAATGGACTGTCTTTTGATAGAGGCAATTGTAGGGATCCGAAAACACTCCAATAAGGAGAGTATTGGAGTGTTCTCGGATCCCTACCTTTTGGTAGGAATGTTAAAATGTGTGGATCAAATCCAAGTATCGCGGTTAATCCAAGTATCTCGGCTCATTCGATTTGCTCTGCCATCACGTTGTTGTTGTAGCAGCCCTATTTGCTTTTACACAATGGGCTGAAGTGTCAGACGTTGGCCGAGTAAGACTCGGGTCGTATTGAATCGTAGGGGTCAGAGGGGTCTGTCGTGGAAACGCTGCCATCACGTAATTCCTTTTGCTGTAGTCTCGCAACTTAGCTGAAATGGGACAACTGATTTAAGTGCACCCACTATCTGCATCCCTTACTTCTCTCTGATACAAATCTATTGAAAATTTAGTGTGTCAAATGGAAAAAAACCGCGATACTTGAATTTGCTCTATCCCGGCTCTGACCAAAAGAATCCGTAGCTTATCCGGGATATGTTGCTCCTAAATAGAAAAATGTTCACATATATTATAAATTTTTTCTCATCCAACAATATATTATTTTAAATATCTTCTCATTATTTCCAGCTTTACATGCCGATGCAGAAATTGTGGACAAAGCAGAACGTGAACTTTTTGAAAGTTATGTCCTCAAAGTCGCCGGTATACGTGAAGTTTTGGCTCGTGATCATATGAAAGTGGCCTTTTTCGGTCGTACATCGAATGGTAAAAGTTCGGTGATCAATGCTATGTTGAGGGAGAAGATCCTGCCCAGCGGCATTGGTCATACAACAAATTGTTTCTGTCAGGTGGAGGGCAGTGACAGTTCTGAGGCGTATTTAATGAAAGAGGGTTCAGAGGAAAAACTCAATGTTGTGGTAAGTATTAAAAAAATAATAAAAACCATTTTTGAATTTATAAATTTTATGTTTGATATATTTTTTTCTTCCTTAGAACATCAAACAATTGGCCAATGCATTGTGCCAAGAAAAACTAAGCGAAAGTTCCTTGGTGCGCATTTTCTGGCCACGTGAACGTTGTAATTTGTTGCGTGACGATGTGGTCTTTGTCGATTCTCCAGGTGTTGATGTATCAGCAAATCTCGATGATTGGATTGATAATCATTGTTTGAACGCTGATGTGTTTGTTTTGGTATTGAATGCCGAATCCACTATGACACGTGCCGAAAAACAATTCTTTCACACAGTCTCACAGAAATTATCGAAGCCCAATATATTTATATTGAACAATCGTTGGGATGCATCGGCCAATGAACCAGAAAGTCAGGAATCGGTAGGTATATTTTTTTGCATTCGACCTTTAGAACACACACAAATGTAGTTGATGGCATTTTGGTTTTTCTTTCATATATTTTCGACTTTCCTTTTTTTCGACTATATGTATTTTAATTTTGTAATAATTTAAATAAAACTACAAATCCAACAAAGGAGCTCGACAAGGTAAAGCATAGAAGAATACCTGTTGATGGCTAGCTTTTGAAATGTAGAGCTTTTAAGCTTATTTCTTATGGAAAATTAATTTTGAAATTAAAAAACAAATTCTAACAATTAATTTTGTGGTTTATTTTGATTCGTCTAGGTGAGATCTCAACACACAGAAAGATGTATTGATTTCCTAACAAAAGAATTGAAAGTTACCAATGAAAAGGAGGCAGCTGAACGTGTTTTCTTTGTATCAGCTCGTGAAGCATTGCAGGTAAGATAGGACGCAAAAAAGAAAGTATTTCTGGATATGAAAATTTTATTTATTATTTATTTCTTTGTTTAACAGGCACGCATCGAAGAAGCCAAAGGCAACTCACCCAGCCAAGGCGCTATTGCCGAAGGTTTTCACACACGCTATTTTGAATTTCAAGATTTCGAACGTAAATTCGAAGAATGCATTTCAAAGAGTGCCGTTCAAACGAAATTCGAAAAGCACAGTTCTCGCGGCAAAACATTATCAGGTGATATGCGTTCGATGCTGGATAATATCTATGAACGTATTACAATATTCCGTAATTTGAAATTGGATCAAAAGACGCTGTTGAGCGAACGTATACAAGGCACCGAAACGGAAATGATGAATGTTACCCGAGAAATGAAATTGAAGATTCACAATATGGTCGAAGAGGTCGAACAAAAAGTCTCGAAAGCTCTGAACGAAGAAATATGGCGTTTGGGTGTATTAATCGATGAATTCAATATGCCTTTCCATCCCGAACCATTGGTATTAAATATTTACAAAAAGGAGTTGAACAGTCATGTTGAAGCTGGTTTGGGTTCGAATTTGAGAGCTCGTCTATCTATGGCGTTGGCAACAAATGTTGAAGCGGCACAAAGAGAAATGACAGGTATGTGTGTGTGTTTAAAAATTATCTTTCTTCATAAGGAGAAGAATATAATTTTTGACATCTTCAAAGTAATAACTCCCAGATATAAGACACTCATTCCTTCCTTACGGGAATTTACTATGTCTTTGTTTCTTTGGATTGCTGTATAAGTCTTAATGTTGTTAGAAAAAAGCCGATATGGTAAATGTTAGGCAAGCGAGACATGGACATACACAGCTTTTGACTTCTACCTTCACCCATCAAGAACACGAAAAGCCCAATTACAATTATTTCGTTTGGAAAATTTGTTTGGGACCGTGAAAATACTTAAAATTTGGCTTGACATATGTTAAAACAATGACCAATATTCAAAATTTTCAGCAAATAGGCTTCACCGCCCAAACATCGGTATGCCAAATTACAGCCACTTCGTTTGGTACATTTTAAAATGTTCGAAAATGTTCTGGGAAGAAGTTCTGTATCCACCAACAAACCAAAAGTCAAGTTACTGTCATACTGTCACTACAAATTGGCGGAACTGTATATGGAGCTATCACAAAACTTGATAGACATTTCCCATTAGAAAAAGCAGACATTCTAGGAGTTATAGAAGTATTTTTTTATTTTTGTGAACCAACTCGAACTCATTTTCTTCGTACTATTCTGAACATCCAAAAAATTAACCAACACAATTTTCGTTATATTTTCAGAACGCATGCATGCCTTGGTGCCCAATGAGAATCTATTGCCACAGGCCCAGAAAATTGTTGCACGTTCACAGCCATTCGAAATGCTTTACTCATTAAATTGTCAGAATTTATGTGCCGATTTCCAAGAAGATTTGGAATTTAAATTCTCATGGGGTATTACAGCGATGATACAACGTTTCACCGGTAAAGTGCGAGAGCGTAACAGTAAAAAACAACCAGCCATACTGAATCGTCAAGGCAGCATGGTGGTAAGCATACATTCCGAACATTCTACTCAAATGAATGAAACAAATTGTAATGTGTCTCTTTTATCATTTATCCCGCAGAATCCCATGTCACCCATAACACCAGTCAATGATACACCATTGTGTCTTATACCCACACCGGTTGGTGGCATCAGCCAAGAACAATTGTCGCTGATATCACGTTTTGCATTAACCTCAATTGGATCACAAGGCACAGTGGGTGGCCTTATTGTGGCGGGCATTGTAAGTAGAGAAGTGGCAGTGGAATTCAACAATAATGATGACAGTAATAAATTGTAATTTATTTCATGTTTGTTGACATTTCTAGATGTTGAAAACAATTGGATGGCGCGTGTTAGTGGGTGTTGGTGCTCTTTATGGCTGTATTTATTTGTATGAACGCTTGTCCTGGACAAATTCAGCCAAGGAACGTGCCTTCAAATCCCAATATGTGCGTCATGCCACCAAAAAGTTGAAAATGATTGTTGATCTGACATCAGCAAACTGCAGTCATCAAGTGCAACAGTAAGCGAGTATATTTTGGGTTTTTATTTTTCATTTATATAAACGTTTTTTTTTCTCCCTACAGAGAATTGTCCAGCACATTTGCCCGTTTGTGCCGCACCGTTGATACTGCCACCACCGACATGAATGAAGAACTAAAAACATTGGAAGCCCAACTCAGCGTCTTGGAAGCTAATCAAAAACAATTGAAACTTTTGCGCAACAAAGCAAATTACATTCAAAATGAACTGGAAATATTCGAAACAAATTATATTGCACCCAACTAGCAGCCATGTTGAAGCGTCGCATGTCATGATGTCAACTGGTATAGCCCAAATCTGATCTTAAGAATTATATGATTAAGGAAATTCATTCAAAAAACTCAACACAAGAAAATAAAACAATCAATGAATGTACACATTTCATTAGGATTTTGTAAATTTATATAAATGTGTATGTCACGCGGTGTATAGGCATAAGCATTAGAATGGACAGCAAGGAAAAAAGAAGTCATTGCACGAAAGAAACAATTCACAATGAAATAAAGAGATGATGATGAAAGGAATGATATTGTTGCACATTTATCTCATGAATTTCTCTTTAGAAATACGACTATAAAAAACAAAGGCCATCCAAACTTCTTTACAAATTATTTCCCCCATTGTTAAAGATCTTCCCCCCCAGAAATGTATTTTTTCTAATTGGATTGTTTATTATATGCTCATTTATTTATATCATTGTATTATGTAAAATCTGAAGGCCTACCCCCTCCTTTTTCAATTTGATATACATTAAAAACAAACAGATATGCAAATAATACCAACTTTGGTCTGTGTCCAAAGAACGATCTTGATAACAATAATAATTTCATATTTTTACAAAACGTATATAGTTTATATTTGCGATTGTGTGTAAAAAAGGATTTTTATTTAACTTTAACTTGTTTTGCTTTATTTTGTTTAATTTACAATTATATTTGAGTAAAATAATGTTTGTTGATCTTATTTAAAAAAAGGAAATATGTTGTAACAATAAAAGAAATAACATAACTATAATAGAAATCCAATAAAGTCAGTTTTTTTCATTTCTGATAATTCAAGGGTTCTTTTTTTAGGAAAGGATGACAAGTTTCAAGTTAAAAGGAAACAGTTGGATTGGATGGGCAGAGAAAGTAAGGTAAAACAATGCATATATATATATATTTACAGACTTATTCTGAATATTCGATAGGAAAAAATTTTTCGCTTTCACATTCTCGCCATATTCTGAATGTAATAGGGAGAAACATGTCAAACAGCTGTTTATTGTTTTGATGCAACAATTACAATAGATTACAAATAAAAGGACATTTGTATGATGGCAAAAATCGCACCGATATCAAAGACACAACGAATAATAGGAAGAAATCTGCGATTGAATTAAATTTGCTATGTTGTTTTTACAAAATTGTTAATATTTTTTTTTTTTTTTGGAGTGACAAATCCTCACACAAAATGTCTTTATTTTGTATCAAACTCCAAATTGTATCAAACTCAGCTTAAATATTCCGTATTGCCTTTATACATTCCGTGGCAATTTTTGGTTGAGCATGCATCGTCATTAATGGGATTTCCAATGGCCTTTTATTTGTTGTTTTTGAGTTAGAAATATGCACACAACCGTTTAAAATATTCAAAATCGTCATAGAATAAGTATTGTGTTGATATTTTTCATAAAAATAGTTAATATCTTTCAATTTATTAGCGAAAAATTTCGCACAAAATGCCATAACATTCTCCCACTCCCTGTAATTCAGAATAACAAATTTTGCGCCAAAGCGGATTTTTTTTTCGCTTTCGAAATTGATTCAAAATAAGGGGAAAGTGAAAATGCGTAAAAAATTTGCTGCGAGTTCTGCTTGTGGATAACTTTAAAGGGAAAAGCGAACAAATTCACGGTGAATTGATGTCAAGAATAAGTGAGATTTCTCATTAGTAAATATCCGGGATAAGGAATTTGTTCCATATTCCAGACGTAGGATATTTGAATAGCATACAGTAATAATAGTTTTGTTTTTTATTTATATTTTGATTTATATAAAATTATTTATGACATGAAAAATAAATTGTCATTAAATTCTCCCTCTCCCATTCATCACTACGTTTTCCTGAAAGATATTTAATTCGCCTGCTTCTTAACCTTATGAATAAACCTTGACACTTAGCAAATTTTCTCATTTTCGAAATACGTTTACAACAAGGCGAATATGGGAATACAAAAAAAAAATATCACTGTAAAATGTAGTTTAGTATTAATTCGCCTTCTTGTTAACCTTATGAATAAAGCAAATTTTCTCATTTTCGAAATACGTTTACAATAAGGCGAATAAAACGAGAAAATCCACGTAGAATTGATGTTCAGAATAAATTTGAATCAGTGGTTTTTATGTGATTATTTTAATCAATTAAATCTAATGATAAATGTATGGTTTATATGTGACGCCCTGTGTACTTACATCATTGCATGTCTGTAAACATCCAATAAAACGGCATTCAATTTTTTTTATTACAATATATATATGGTTTATTTATATCTCAGTTGCTCTTTTTTGTTTGTTTTTAATAGTCATCGTTTTATTTATTAATAGTAGCAATTAATAAATTATATTTTTAATGCAACCTTAGACCTTCTTCTTAATCAAATTACTAAATTGAAAAATTATACTTATACATACGAATACAAAGGTGTATGCAGCATGTGTGCTATATATATAATTATATTATTTATATAATATACATATGTAAAATATTGGACCAAAATTCTTTATCATTGATGAATTTTCTTCGTTTTTTTTTTTTTTTTTGGTTTAGAGTTATGATATATTTTGTGAAACAAAGAAAATGAGATATAGAAACAACGAAAACTTAATGGGAAATAAATAAATGAAATCAAATTAAAAACAATGTATGAAGATGTGTACTTTGTTAATGTTTGTGGATTATTTTGGATTTGGTTTGTGCTGAATTATGGTTTGTTTTCTTTTTTTTCAACTGTTTAATTTCTGTGGACGTTTTTATTTATTTTCTACTTTTTAGTGCATATTTATATTCGCTTTTAAGTAAAATGAAGGGGTATTATAATTTTATCAAGAATTCATCAGTTGCAGTGAAAGTCTGAATTTCAAACTAATGGAAGAAATTATGAGTGAGGCTATGACAAGGTTTTTTTCATTAACTGAAGAATAGACAAAGCCCTAAATATAATTCCATTTTAGACACCTTGACAATAGCTACATATATGTATACGACTACAAAATATTACCGATAATAATGGACTATAATGAAGATTCTAAAGAGTAATAAATGCCATGCGCTAGACAATTGTCAAAAGTCCCGAAAACTTTTTGGAACACATTCCTTTTTGAAACACCCCCGACAACTACAATGATGACAGCAAAGATGAATATTATTGTCCAATTTCACTTCTCTCGCCAATTGCTAAGAGAATTCCGGATAACGTAAAATGCACAGTTCTAACACAGCATTTCACGCCATTTACACTAAATGGCGTGTAAATGGCATGACTTCTGCGGAACTATTCAACCTCTACCTTTCTGACATTCCATAACCATCGGACAAAATAGATGATTTAACGATCATGGCACCGGGTCCCATTATTGATGACACATTTGAAAATATATACATCGGCGATCTTGTGAGTTTCTTCCATCTGGAGAATATATAAATAATTGCCACCAAGTCCACAGCCACACTGTTCGCCACTAAGACGAGTAAAATGAAGTGGTCAATGGAGAACAGAGTCGTCGGCTATTAGCGATACGTTGAGAGTGGAAACGCTGAAAAGAAGACTTTGTTGATCTCGAATGTAAGTGATGTAGAAGAATACCGTCCTGAGAATTACAACAGAGTGTACCCTCACTACCCCTGGGGACCATCTTCATGAGGAGACGACCACCGACACAACCAAATGTTATTGATAGAGTACCTGTTTAATTGTTATTTTCGCGAATGTAGGTTATGGACATAATCCAGGGGTACAAGTGTAAACATATAGATCAAGCAGGTCTGAATAGCAGTCATACAGATGCAGACACACAGGTAATATGAATGTCAAGATCAGGATGATACAACCGCCTCAATTCCTGTAGGACACGTTTTGATGGCTCGATACCTAATACATATATTCAATTGGCCAGCTAAGTCCACGCACCTGTCCCCGAATTCTCTAGGGACACAAACCTAACAGGCTGCAACCTACCTAAATTTGTATACATTGTATTTCAGTGGGAAAAACAAAACATATTCCCTAATAGTCGTTCTCAAACACTCAAGCGATGATTGACTTGAGGAGGTCTTCTCATATATAGTCATGGGAAATTTTGCAAATGTTATCCGAAACATAGATTATTTTATCAAGCAGTTACCATTGATAAATTCCGCAAGTAAAAAATATTCCCCAGCTTAGCTTTGTTTCCAGGAATCATGGTAACCATCATATGAACGATAGAGAACTCCCTTACTTAAACCCCTATTCAGCCCATATAATTGGAGTTATATAAATGTTTGTATACTCATCGCGCCTAGACAAACTTTAGCTGCACAAAAACCAACAAGGATACTTTCAACTGCATTAATCGCCTCAATTCGTATTTGTTTGTGTTTTAAATTGTAATGATATTTACAATTTTGATCATATAAATTTTAAAACTTAAAAATACCCAATTTTAGAGAAAATAAAAAAACGATTTTATTTTTCAAATATTTTCTTTTAATTATTTGAAAAAAATTAACTTAATACAGAGACACATATAGTTATTGTGTTTTTTTTTGTAATTACAATAAACTCAAGAGATTTAAAATTAAAAATAAAAATTATAAAAAAATCACAATATTTTAACTAAAAAATATTTTTTCCACATAATTATATTTTTTATGTCAAAAAACATAGAAGAGAAATAATTATATAATATATAGAAATAATAATATTTTTTATGTAAAACATAGAAGAGAATGAAACCTAACCGAAAAAGAAAAAAGTGTTTGGAGTTATAATAGTGAGTTGTAGTAGTAGATAGTATTCGCTCATTGAGAAAGATACAAAGAAATTGAAAGCAATTATCATCAATGAGCAAATAATAAATTTTACATATACATACATTATATAATGATACAAGAAAATATTACAATACAAATAGTGATAATTCTTATTACAGTAAATTAAACATCTTACACAAATGAAATTCTTTTATAATTTTCTTTCACATCTGTCTCACAATGTCTTTTCTTCGAAATTATTTTTTTGTTATTTTGTTAAAAATACATTAAAATATATATTATTTTCGTGTTTCTTTTTGTTTGTTTCTTGGTTAAAAAATTCCACTAAAGAAAGTACAGATTTAAAAGGAAGGAAAATAACAATAACATAGATAATTGGCCAATAAAACAACATTTGTTTTGTTTTCTTGGGAGGAGCAGGACCACATAAACACTGAAGAATGCTATGTATGTCGGAGAGATGTGTTAAAATAAAACCAATAAAACAATAAATGAAAAAAATATTGCAAAACAGTTTGGTGTCAGTAGTTCACGAAAAAGTACAAGAACGATAGAGAAAGTCTAAAATTAAAATTGTTTAATTGTCTACATGTGTATCGTTGCAGCTGTGTAACGAGCTTCTCCACGTCTCCATGACCATTGGCTTGGACGATACTGAAATAAGAAAAGGAAAATGGAAAACATAGATAAACCATAATTGTAGTATTTTAATTAAAAACTATTATGTTTAAAAAATATAAAATAATAAAAAATATTGAATTTACTATTCGTTTTCTTTCCTTTTTTTGCAATTGAAAGAAACACAAATGGAAAAAACATCAATGTGCATAGGGTGGTTGTTCTAACGACATTTATTCTAATTTTAGGAATGAAAATTGACGAATCGAATGATCCTAAAGATTTCTCAAAAGTTTGCGATATATTGTTCTATGTGTGTTATTGGCAGTCTTTTTACCGAACAAGAGGGCACAATCGTGTATATTGATAGTCTGCAAATTTTGAATTAAAATTCCCCACTAGAATAAGTGTAGAAAATAATTTTTATTAAATTCCATTAAATACTCGCCCAGTATTAGAACATCATAGCGAAATTGAAATAATTCGGAGAGATCGCCAGCCATAACTTCAGATAATTGTCGGGTAAAAGAAACGATATTCCGAGACATTATGACTGCTGGGGCCCCCAGATGCCACACTGCCGTTTTAGCAGAGCCAGTTGAATGAGCACTACACGCACACATCAGTCAAACTAAACCAGAACAGAATTTTTTTGTGTGAGCATGAAATCAAATCTCATTTTCACTTGAAGAAACCAAACATAGATTTCGAAAAGGACACTGCCAGTGAATATACAGGTTAATCAGAATGCAATTCCGTGTATCCCAAGATCTTCGGGGCCATATTCGTCTGCTGGGGAATCAAACAGCACTAACCTTGCCTATATGTTTGAAATCTTCGGACATCCGAATATTCTCTATATTCACTATGTTTCCATGGGAAACTACCGATTTTTTTCAGGTCAGTATTCCACGAGCATGTTATACCTACCGGTACATCATAATAGGAACATATTGGTGTCGTGATTCTATAGTAAAAACCCTCGATCTGAGTAATTGTTTCTGTATTGATTTAGCAATTATCTTATTGGCAACGTTGATATGGATTATGGATTATCTGGTTCCTCTATCTCCAAATTCAAAAATTTTGAAACTTGAATGGTTTGCGTATATAGCGAATTCGACGATAGTTGAGTCGGCTGAGCTGGGCAGTTGAAGAGGTGCAACGTGTCGTGTGGTCCTAGTCCACATAAAGGACACGTGTTAGGTATCGATCCGTCAATTCTTGCCCAATATGAATTGTGCAGGTTACACCATCCTCATCTTAAATGAATAAGACTACTCGTGTTTGTCGGGGCAGCTGCTTCTCGTCTGCTGCGATGAATGGGGGTGGTCTCCGATTATGGTATTCACTCTATAGTGCTCTATTGCCTGAGCGGCTGCATCTGTGTGAATACCATTTAGACCTGCTTGATAGGCTTCTTGGAGCTCTCTCTCTCTAGATCATGAATCGACAACATACAAATGTGTCGATGGACGGGTAAGATCTTCCTCTCCTCATGAAGATGGTCCACAGGAGTCATGAGGAGACACCCTGTTGCAGTTCTCAGGGCAGCATTCTGGCAGGTCTGGATATTCTTCCGCTGCGTATCACTTACAATCGCAAACCACACTGGCGTCGCATAGCTTACCATTGACCGTCATGTTGCTTTATAACACGGTTTCTTTGTCAGCGTATCAAGATCTGCCGGCTATCGACTTAAGGACCTTGTTCCTACTTCTCAGCTTATCGCATAATGCAGTGGCATGCGCAGTCGACTTGAAAAGGCTGTCGAGCGTTACCCCCAGGATATTGGGGTAGTTAGTGGTCGGAATTAGTTCTCCATCGACTATTATGTTCAGCGAGAGCTTCATTTCAGCCCTTCATGCTGTGAACGGAATATTTTCGTATTCCTCATATGGAAGAAATTTAAGAGATCAGCTATGAATGTAACAACATTCGATATTGTTTAAATTTCTTTTGTTATTGTAAAAACAATAAAACAAACAAATGAAATTGTTGTAAAATAGACAATATCGAATGTTGTTAAAACGTTACAGAATACAGGGGCAGGTATGAATGTAACCTCTCACATATGCCATCAATAATGGGACCCGACGCTATGATCGTACAATGATCGGCATACATTACGATCTCTATACCGTGCGGTGGTGCTGGAATATCAGAAAGGTAAAGGCTAAAAAGGGCCAGAGATATGGCGCCTCTTTGGAGAACTCCCTGTTTCCTTTGTTTCCCCTGTTTCTACAGGGTTTAGACTTTCTGTTTGTAAATTCCACATACGACTGGTGTCCACACATACAGTTGATTATGCAATATTTCAAGAACGATGGGAGATTTGTCTTCTCTATATCTCCGAATAGTTTGGTATGGTCAAGTGCCACCATAACTGTTCGATTGCACGGCCTTTTCTGGTTAAGTTCCCTGCTAATATGTGTGCAAATGGCGTCTAATGCTGTTGAGGGTAGTGCAGATTAGCCTAATAAAAAAAACTTTGGTCAGAACCCGGAGGTACTTGGCACTAAAAAATTCATTAGTTTTATCTCCAATCTCATATAAACAGTGGATTTTGGATTTAACATTCCCAGTACTTCCGGGTTTACACAGTCAGTTTTGGAATGACAACTTTGTTATCGATTTATCGATTATGCTGTCAACCAAGACAAATGTGGATAGAGCTGCCGGTAAGTACCAATGCCAACAGTCAAAAGACCCAGAAGACACTGTAATTATAATACATGTGAGTGTAATGGTTATCAATTCCGGCTGATGTGGGTTTGTGGTAGACTTATTATCATATCTTTAGCGGTAGCTTAACGACTTAGCAATGGATAACATTTCTGAGTATTTCAGCCATACTCATTCTCGTTCCTATTCTCGAAATACCATGAATTGATCTGTAACTACTACATCTATGTGTAGCTTCATCTGAATCATAGAAAATATCACTTCCGAAAAGTTCGTGCAAATTTAATCCAATGAAACAAAAAGTACGATGACGATGTAAATATCAAATATATAGTAGAAGGCCTAATAACGGGCCCTAAATAGATGCAAATGGTAATATAATAAAATCAACGACTACAAGCTTTGGAGGATCAAGGAGGATCAGCAACGATTGATTTTGTCGCACAATATTGCATATAATTTTTATTTTTAGTATGAACTAATAGTATTGAAGACAATAGGATAACTTATTCTTATGTACATTTATATTTGAACATTTACTCATAAGATTTTTCAAAATTTAACTGTTTGTTATATCAAAAGCAATGTTTTTATTTTCGGTTACATGAACCAGTCTATGAGAAAGTAAAATTAGTACATAGGAATAAGAATAGAAGGCTTGAACAAATTTACATGCATTAGTTTGATTTAACTCAGAATGAACAGGTGATCTAACAGCTAAAGTGTGAACATGAAGTGCTATATAAAACAAAATGACAATATCAATATTTTGTGTTAATAGTGAGAGTAGAACAAATGAATTTCAACGAATTCGATGAATGTTAATGATAATACAACAGATAAATTTAAAATGTGACGAATATTGAACATCAGTCTAAAGTTTCTAAAGTTTTACAAACCTGACGATATTTGGACTGCATGTAATAAAATACACAAATACAATAGTTAGTAATTAATGGTATTTAAAGATACCCCCAGAAAAGGCTTAAAACAACAAAAACACATCACCTTGTTTTGCAGAATAATTACTCACCTGTATAAGTAATTGTCCACTTTTCGTATGTGGATTCCGATAGGCATACAACACCCACAATACAATACAAGACACCAGGCAAATTGGTATAAATAGACCCAATGTTAGGCTCATTTTTTGTGAGGGCTCTGCTTCTTCGGCCATGGATTTCATTTGTGTTCCAGCCAAGGGTTTCATTTGTGTACCATTGTATTGATATTCCGTATTGCCACTATCCACGGGAGCTGTTGTTGTTGACGAGTCTAAACCAGAAGGATTATATGGTTTAAATGGATGTGTTGTAACATCATTGTGATTTGTATTGGTGTTACCATCTGTATTAGTAGTGTTGCTACCAGCAGCGGGGCAAGTAGATGCCGTAATAATTTGGAAACGTTCACAGGCTGAAGTTAAACGAGAAATTCAATAAGATTTTAAAATTGTTAAACAAAAAAATAATACTATAGCCTTTTTAAATACTTACAATGTGTTTTCCATTCTTGTCTCTTACGATCGGTACCAGTTGAGCATCTGTTGGCGGTAGGACACCAGAAGCACTGTAAAACATTATTTGTATTATTTAAATTTCAAATATTCGTCGAATGTTTGCAACTTACGGTGAAATCGGTGTTGTGATTCAAACAAGATGCACAATCGGTATATTGCAAACATGTTGGCAAGGCGGTGAAATAAATAATGGTGGCATTTGTAATCTGGGTATTACCAAAGCTAACACGGTGATATTCATAAATTGTCTTTCTACGAGCATCTGGAATTTCAAATATTTCATTAGGGGTTATTGTAAAAACATAAATCTCTAAATATAACTTACTGCCAACATCTTGATCCATAATATAAGCATCTGAGAGTCCAACCTTTACAGGATGTTTGTCATCTTGTATGGCATTAATGAAAATTGGCACTTTGAAGTAAGTGAAGACAATATCACCGTTTTTGTGTAGCGTAGCACTGAACGTGAATTTACCAACATCTTGTTTGTCCTGAAGAGAAACATTTTCCCAGATGACAGTAAACGAAAAACCTACAAAGGAAAATTAAACGAGAAGGGATTGAGGATATGAACAAAATAGTAGCACATGACATTGAGGTCGTTGCGAAGGCGCCACTTTCAAAGAATATTTATGTGAAAACGTGGGGGTCCTGGCAAGAAAGTATAAGTATATAAAGGACATGTGAAATACAAGTATTATTAAGTTATATCTGAATCCCCAAAAGAGTTGCTGTATATTCTAGAATATAGCTATTTATTTGCAGTTTCTGAGGCATGAAACATCTAAAAAACTCTTAAACTTTACGGATGAAACCTATGGTCACGTCGGTACGGATCAGATAGAACTGCAATTTCTTTCTTACAGAGACATTTAAAAATTAACAACATGTTTTCGGAGGATACTTCCAGCTCTCAGAACCTGAAAGTCAATAGATCCATCTACGATCTTGCAAATTTTGATTGCATCTGTGTAGAAACAGCTATCATAGTGTTTCATAATTGCCTTGACCTCCGGGCGCTGACTGTCCACACTCGGTATAACGAATACTCTGCTCAGCGAATTCAGGATTATTTGTATAAATTGTTTATTAGAAAGGCATTGAAATGCAAATTACTTTTTATGTTTTTTTTTTTAAATAAAATTGCAACTTTAAAATTTCCTGACACTTTTTAGACGTTATTTTAAATACAATAGATCCTCTAAATATCTTGCTTTGCAATTAGTTGTTTTCAAAATATTTCCCTGTCTTCTTACCTGTGTCGTTTATACGAACAAATGAATCTTCCGAAAGACTTGTATCGAAATTTGCCATCAATGGTGCAATATATTGTGTAGCAGCCAACCATGAATGTACATAATCGCCGGTATAGATGAAACCACCAGTGGCAACGGTAACATTTCTCACGGGATGACCATAGAAGGGGAAATCAAAACTCAATAATACAGTCTAAAGAATAATAAAAAAACGAAAATTTGAATATTAAATAAAACATGAAAATACTCAAAAATTAATTATAATTCATTACCATAGCGCGGCGATGAGATTGTGATAACATCAAATTGGGTGTGATATTTTTAATTTCATTCCAATATTTATCGGCCTTATCTTTGTCGGTATATGTTGTGCTATTGTAATATTGATGATGATCCTTAAAGAAAAATTAAATAAATAAAATGAATAAGATGTTTTGATATTTAATATAGATATATAGTTAGTTTAATATCAAAGTGAGGAAATTTCTATAAGGCTATGGGAGTCATAGAATATAATTGCTTGTAATTGTTCTAAATCAGCATAACATTTCTACTTCTTAAATTCGATCTTGATTTGAAAACCCCCTCTAATATTCGTACACAATTCATACAATGAAGCTTTTTGCTTTTGCATTTATTATGATTTGTATATCTGCGGTTTACAGTTTCTCATTTAAACACTCTATCATCATGGGGTGAGTTGAATACAATTGTTATCAATGCGGTTTTTAACCATGACATTGCGGTAATTGATGAACATCATATTGTTTATATACATTTTATATGTATATAAAAAACAACTGCATAAATAACAACATCTTCATGATTTATAATAAATTCATTTGAAATGCCGCCTGTTAACAAGTTATGTAGCAGAAAAAACTTCCTAGTTTATACGTCATTTAATAATTTAACAGCTGGTTCACACTGAGTAATTTCCCATAGATGTTATGATGTTTCAATAAATGAACATTTCACATAAGAACTAGGTTATGCAATTGTATGAAGAACAAATAATCATTGTCATTCATGGATAATAGCTTTATGAGGATATAAATGTCTCTCAGTCTGGGAAATAATTTCAAATAAACATATAAATAAATGAAACAAATATTCTATGAACGTCTTTCCGGCTAATAGAGAATCCTGGGCGGATGATTATCTCCTTTATTAAATGTTCTGTCAATTTATACAGGAGGAAAGCACAGGCGCAAGAGTTTTCTGTGATGAACTATCTATCAAAAATTCATAAAACTAAACAATCATTGTAGCGTTTTTCTTACCGAAACTGTAGCAATCGTGCAGGCAGCAGAATTAGTCAAAGAGAAATAATTTAGTGACTTAGGACCGGTGACTATTACAACGTCAAGCGGCCTGAAATAGCTGACGAACTTTCTCGGTATTGATCGGTATCCCAGTTGATACAACTGTTGATGTCCAATTTATCGCAGCAAAATACATCAAATATTTGGTAGATACAAGACAATCAACATTTACAGCTTCGTAAAAAAAATGATGGCTTAGTTATTAAACCAAACCTTAATCCTCTCATCCCCTCCTTCATTATGTTGGGTTCCAGTATACAGTAACATAGACGGTAATGAGATGCCGATGAGCTTACTCTAACTATTTGCTACTTTATTGGCAAAATACGAATGAGCTACTGTGGGGTAGTCGGCAACAGATGGTCAACGGAACCTGGATGCAGGGTTTCCAAAAACCGTCTGGCCTGAATTCTTTCGCCGTGGAATTTCTTCGTTGCTGTCTGATAGTAAGGGGGAGATAAAAATCATTGGGGATCATAATAGGTGTCTGCATGATTAGATATCTCATTTCCAAAGGTGACATTAACGGAGTGAATTATTGCCGTCTATGTGAGGGTAAGGAAGAGCTGGAAACAATTGAATATTTACCAGCAGAAGACACCGACAGTTTAATAAATATGAAATTGATAATCTAGTAGTCTTCTCCGGAATAGATCCCAAGCTGTTCCTTAGCTTAGTTACAACTTTGACATTGTTACAACTTATACACTGTTTTTAAAATTCGGGGCAGCTCTTGGAGTGTTTGAGAGAACAGAACATATCGAGTGACGTATCGAGCTGCAGCGACTACGTTGTGAGAATGAATGAGGATACCCAGCTCAAAAATCATATAAAAGCGAGCAAACTGATGGTTCACGCAGAAGAGAAAGGTCAGAAAAGAACATTTCAGAACATCGTCTTTCAAATTGGAAGAGCTGCGCAAAAGACCGGCTTTTGGAACAAACGTTCTATCACAAGCCAGCTAAGTAAGTAAAAAAGTTCTGTCGCGTTTTATGACAGAACTAGTCACTCCTCAATACGAGAAAAGCATCGCACTCCAGTCAATAGAGTCGTCAGGTATGGTACAGAAGGATGTCGACTTTTCGACAGGAGAGGCAATATAGTCAAGAGTTGACGCTCCAGCTGGCGAATCCGGTACTCAAAAGTATCAAGTGCAAGGAGGTACCCGGACAAGAAGGCATATCGGATGAACAACAGTGTTTATTGTCTGGTAGAGATTAACAGCTGTTTGCCAGTATTCTACCAAACAATCCCGTTTTTACTTACTGAGATAGTTCCTATAGTATTCATTAAAATCCAGAATCGAATTCATCGTTTGGAACCGTTCTGGAAATTTCTTCTAATTAACCTCATTTTTCTTTCTTAGATTTCGTTTTATTCAAACAATTAACCTCTTTCGTTCATTTTCATGTGGGACTACTATCAAACTAAAAATCAATAAATTCCTTCCATTGCCATAGGAAAATAAATAACCTTTACAAATCACAATTTCCGAACATTACCTCCTCTTTTTCAAAAAATCAACTTACCGAAGTTGTATTCAAAGTACGATTTGTCTTCTTCAATGTTTCCATAGTGTCTTCTTCCGGAATATCGATGGAGTCAATTAGTTTTTCCAAATCACTTTCTTCTGTACTATTTGTTGATCCAGTTACGGCACCAGTTGCTGCAGCAATTGTTCCGGCAACAGTGGCTGCGACACCAGTTGCGGCTACTTTGGTAGCTGACAACACCTTTTTAGGTAATGGATTTGCATTCTTTTTGGCTTCGTCAGATGATGATGCTGCTTGTCCATCGGCACTTTTTGTAATATCCGTTTGAAGTGTTGTTGCCGCTGTTGTTGAGGCTATTTTATCTGTCATATCCTTACGTTGACCGGTTCCATTAACACCCAATAAAGGTCGACTACTCGGAGGCACAACAACGGATGAGGTGGAGGCGGCTGCTGCTGTGTCTGTGGTCGACACATTGACATTTGGTTGTTGTACAGCAGCACTACTTGAGTTTGTGGTTTGAACACTTTGGTATTGATTTTTAATATCTACAATGGGTTTTTTGTCATCTGCAAAGAGGGGAGAAGAAAAGGTGAAAACAATTAGAAATTAAATAAAATATATTTAAAATTTAAGTTTTTTTAAATAAAGAAAGAGTGGGCATTTTTTAATTCCGTTTGCAACATCTCAAAATATTATTGTTTATGGTTATTATAAAAGACTATGTCAATTTAGTCGTGTCCATCTGTATGTTGGAATGACGGTATGGATCGCAATATTTTTGACATTTTTAAGGTCTTAAGGTCGCATTTGAAAAAACTCTGTTATTTGGCATTCCATGATTGCAAATCATTTGAAATATAGGTAGAAGTCGTATTATTTATGAGAGCTTTGCCCATATAACAGTACCTACAAATTCTCGGTATTCTTAAGGTCTTTAATTGAGAATTACGTCAAAGCCCCCATATAGAGATCCCGCCCATGTTATGTATTTTCATGATCTTAGGCGTATATTTTCCAAACGAAGTGACAGTAATTTGGCATACCAGATTTATTGCGGGTGCAAAACTTCTTTGAAAAAAAACACACACACAAACAAAATTCAATTCAATTCAAAATTCGTGAATAGTCTGTTTCGATAAATGCTGAATATCATAGCCGAATTTTCAACGAGTGTCTGCATTTGGGTTTTTTTCCTCAGAGGGTTTAAAAAGTAGGGTTCGGCTCGGTCATTAATTTGTTTTTCATTTTCTCAGAGGAGAAGTTAAAAAAAGGGGAGTTAAAAAAAATATTTCTGTGATAACAGCAAATTAACATTTGTTAAATTTTAGAATGTTCTTAAACGATGGTGAGTAATTTACTTACGGCAATTCAGTTTCGACTAAAAATAAGAAATTACTGAATTTCGAACTTAATATCACCCGCGCTATAGAGATACGATTGAAGAATGTATATCCTTCAATTAAAAATATATTTGGAAATTCTATATAAATATTTTGAAGAACATGTGTAATCGGCCTAAAGGATTGATTATTTGATTAGCATAATGTCTATAATGAGATATTCCAAATCAAAGCCTGTATAAGTGTCCATTTATAGCTTTATTGTGACACAACATTATGTCCTGTCTCCCACCAAAGGCCATGTTGTGTAGGCGGTGTTTTTCTCAGTTTTCCATAATCTGTGCAAATTTTTTTCGTATTTTACTACAACGCAATTAATTTTGATGCGTTAAATATAATCAAACAGCTGTGCCCCGGGGGCATATTAAGGTCAGTGCGTGTTTATTTCCATTAAAAATGTATTTTTGAAAATTATACACGAACGAACGTTGTTGTGGCGTCGTCGCTGTCGTCTTCAACCTCTTGGCTTCATTTTCTACACTTTACACTTAAATAAACTATACCGGGTGGGGGCCAGGCGGCAACTGCCACCTGGTAACGCCGCGAATAGCAACAATAAAAATGGTGGCGACATAACAACCACGACGACGATGACCTTTTTGTAACGGTAACAGTGTGGCAAAAATACGAAAACGAAACACGGAATAATAAAAAAAATCGATTTTTCTAATATGATTATATTTGGAATGGACTGACTGGCCTACTACTACTACCACCACCACCACAACAAATATTACCTACATTGAGTTGAACTTCCTATTACACACAATGATGTAATTATAAAAGTACATTCACTGCTGCCGCATTGTCGATATTAACAAATCTTTTCATAGTCTTCTCTTGTCGAAGGGACTGTGGCCTCCCAAAATAATGACCATTCTTGGAAATCTAAGTGAAATGTGTTTGAGTGTGGTGTACTCTCTTTTGTCCATGCTCAATTGTGTTGTACACATAAATTAACTCAACTGTTATAATAGGATTATGTTTTGCAAACACACACACACGTTATTATCATTTACAATAAACATATTTACAGAGGAATAAAGGAAATAAAAGATTTGAATTTAAGAAGAAGAAACAAAAAAACTTATTTAATAGTATTTACAGGAAGTATTAGGGAGAACAATGTTACATTTAATTCCATAAATTAGGTGAACTATTGCAAAAAAAAGTATTTTAGTTCTCGTATTCATTCTCTGCTAGAATATTTATGATTTAGTAAATCAAATATTATTTAACATGTATATGAAGATCAAAGATAATAATATTTATATTTAAAATATAACTGTTCCTAAGTAACGAACTGTATACTATAATAAAAAATTATTTAATTTCTGAAATAATTTTCTTGACCGCATACGCAATACGTTATGACAACAATCATACGCACTCATTAACGATTTTGCAAAATATCCTAAAAACTATATTTTATTTTTATATGAAAAAAATCTGAATGCATTTGTCCGTGAATAGCAAACATGTTTACGAGGTCTGTTTAATAGAAATCGAAAATATCTCACGGAATATATTTTATATCAATATATGAATATTATTTGAAAATGAGTCCTTGTGATTCTAAAACCCCACCCCTTCCCAGGCACATTAACACATCGCGCATTTGCTGTCAGACAGGCATAACTCAAAAAACGTGATTTTCGAGTTAATGATGCTCGATTGTTCGCTATAATTGACCTCATGTTTTGTTAAAAATTCATATGAATATCTCTTTTTTTAGTTATACCTCTTTTGCAGCAAATGAAAACTCGCATTTTCTGTTGTTTTTTTACATCTCTTGCAGCAAATGATCGTTGTGTACATGAATGCGTATGATTGTCGTCAACATGTATACGCTTTTAATGATTAATATTTCAATTAACAGGAGTATAAAAATGAAAGCGGCTTTCAAACAAGAATCGAACAATTTTTATATTTATAAAATTTAGATACTTGGGAACTATTTAATCCCTGAACTATTTAATCCCGAACAATTTTTATATTTATAAAATTTAGATATTTGGGAACTATTTAATCCCTGAATAGAATAGTTAACATAACGGAAGTATTATTGAGAACAATATTACATTTAAGGCAATAAATTAGGTGAACATTGGGAAATAAAGTATTTTATTTCCCTCATATAGTAAACAAACAAAATATTAATTGAGAATCATTTGAAAATTCGAGGTAAGGAATTCAAAATGGGAAAAGGTATTTATTTATTTAATTTATTGAGTCAATGGAATTCAGTATCCTTACAGACTAATATAATATAATATACCTAGTTGTTAAAATTAACTATTATTCTATATTCAAAGAAATATTTCATACAAAATTGATTTAAAAAAATTTTTTAGACATACTAAAATCATTGCAAACCGTAATTCGTGCCGTGAAATGAAATATTAAAAATATTCAATACGCGTAAGCTCCTCGGTGGGACAAACATGGGTACTAACGATAATATATCTGGAGAATCAATTTTAGTATTAAGTGAAATATAAAACAACTTTGCAATCCCTGTAATAAACACCTAGATTTATAAGAGGGCGTGTCAGGAGTGAATTTTGTAGAGCAAACTGTGTAAAACGTCTTTGAATCCTTTCTACACGACATATATGGGAGTTGCAGTAGGGATCCCAAATGATTGACGCATATTCAAGTTTTTTGTATGTATTGTATGTCCTCTTATTGCGTATACGCAATGACAACAGTCATACTCACTAATAAATGAAACATATGGAATCAAATTTCGAATTATTTCCTACCAATTTGCAAGATATTTTAAATTTATATAAAAAACTATTAAAATAAGAATAGCAATCTGTTAGAAAGAAATGGCCAACATTTTAAGACTTCATTGTGGAACTCTTTTGCCATGTTCAGATATCGAAGATATGTCTTTCTATGGATATTCCCACTCTTTCCAGGTCCATTAACAGCCAAGAATTAGTTTTAATTTGAGATACTATTCAATGGTTGTGTACATGAATGCGTATGGTTTTCGTCAAAATGTATACGCTTCGATTGGTAAGTATATCATTTAACAATATTACCCAACTGGGAGCTATTAAATCCACAATATTGTTGAAATTCTGCCATGTTAGGAGACTCCTCTCGAAGAGAAAATATAATAAGGGAAAATAAGGGGAGAAAAAAATTATAGAGTAAGAAGAAAGGGGGCTTGATGTAAAGTTTGACAAGTTCTATACAATCTATGTATAAGTTGATTGGATATATATCGGAGAATTTCTTATTATTTCTTATTTAAAATCTACCAAACTGCCGATGAGAGTTCTAATTCTGAATACGCCAGTTACGCCGTTCTTACAGAGAGAAATAAATTATGTAGTAATCACGGGCCAGACATATTTTGAGGTTCTGTCAACAGGTTCCCCACGCCACCTAATTCTAGGCTTTTCAAAGTAGATCTTGTGAATATTGTCAACGCAATAGTTAAGAGTGATTTTTTTAGAACAGGTTGTCCATTCGCACAGTTTTCCTTGTTAGGATAGGGTTTTTAGAATCCTCAAATCTACGGTAGGAGGTTGCATAATATCTGAAATTGTTTTCATTAAATAAGATATCACGACATAATCTTGCGCGAAAGACATTTGCGTGTCCAAAGTGCCTAATATCAGTTATATTTTTTGGAAAAATATTTTTCTAACCAAACCCTAATTTATATAAATTATGTTGACCCATCAATCTCTATAACCCCCACACATTTAACCAACAACCCCCACAAAAATTTATTTGCCAAAATTGATTCTACATTATGCTATTATCACTTACTCCCTGCAAACAAATATTTTCTCAGCATTTGCCCTTCCCATTTGTACATCTAGTTAGATAGGTTAGTGGGACAGTAACCCCAACCAATTGAAGAACAATAACAGGCAACTCTTTCTTTTTCTTGGCCAAACAAAAATAATCAAATAAAATAATTTGGAAATCATTATCACAGAAGAAAACAACAAAACAAAAACAATGCATTGAATGCCATAAGAAAATAAGTAAATGTTTGGAAAAAGGGGTCGAGTTTGCCATTGTGTCTATTGGTCAAATTATTTGAACCCTATCAACAACAACAACAATAATAATAATGCTAAAAATAAATTGCAAAAATGTGTCACATAAAAATTACATTAAATATACATATATATATC